TTAAATTGAACGTCCCTCTCGAAACTATCCGCTGATTAGAACGTGATAGACGTCCACGTTGAGGGGGGCCACATCGCAGTACTATTGCCAAAGAATCGTCAGGGGATGACTTTTAAGCTGGATATCTCTAAATTAAATCAATATAATCAATCATTTATTTTCTCACGAAACGGGAATTTTTCGGTGTTTTAGCACTTTTCAAATGAAGGCCTGCATCGATTCCAACCCATCGAAATACGATAGCCTTTATGGTTCATTTAAATGACAAGCATTATGTTCATTCTCCTTGTGCTTAAAGTAAAAGTAGCATATTTCCAGATATTGGCACGAACTACCTGGTTAGTACAAATAATTTGAGAAGGCAAAAAATGAAACTATGAATTTCAATTAAGAGATGCCAAAATCAAACAAGTGCGGAAATATCTGGGAAGTTTTTTTTTAACAGGGGACGGATAGTGTGATACTGAAACCCGATGGTGCTTTGTAATAGACAAGGAAGCATTTCAAAAGCTAAGCAGTGCACTAAGGAAAAGAATATTAAACAAAGAAAAGATTATTACAATGTTACGTAATATCTGTTCACCTGTATAGCAGTGAATGCTGGAAAATCTCCTCAAAGATGAAGAAGAGACTTGAAGCCACAGAAATCTGGTTCTACAGAAGGATGGATCGAACATGTGAACAGCCACAAGGCTTAAGAGAAAATGGAAATAAAAAGGAAGATTATAAGATAAGAGATGAGGTTTCATGAGCATATTGTGAGGAAAAAAGTCTTGGATATTCTGATACTCACTGGACAGATTGAAGGCAAGAAAAAGAAAAAAAACACATGACATACATTAGTCAGTAATGAGCCATGCGTGATACACGCCTGGGCGATCATGTATCTTTCGATATATGATTGACTAAGTAGATTTTTTCCCGTAGTAGGTTGCCCCCTCTTTTGCGGTAGGCTAGTTACCATCCAAGATTATAGAACCCGGTCTATCCTTCTATTTACCCATAGCTGAGGAGAGAAAAGAGGATTCATACCTTTCCCAAGTAAGTGCACGTAAGTGAATGTAATGGATTCGACTGGAATTCGAACTCGTCTCTCCGATTCCTCAATCCGAGCCGCTATCCATTACTCCATTGTACATAGTGAGCTTGGATAGATATATGGTTTAGGAAAAATAACAGAAAGACATATTTTAAGAGTGGCAAGGGACAGGAAGTTGTGGAGAGCAATGATCCCCTACGTCCTGATAGGACACAGCACATAAAGAAGATACAAGCATGGATTTATCACCATAGAACATTTGTTCGAAAGCTAATGTAATATATTGTGATAACATCAGTGAATATATCACTATAAAAATGATATAGTTCAAACTGGTGAACAAATTATGAGGTTTCGTCTCAAATCTTGTAATATGTGTTGGAGCCCATTTTTAATTTTCATATATATGTATACATGTACATGCTCATCGATAGTTACCTGTGCACACAATAACATAACATACACTTACACGCATATACATATCATAGACGCTTTTTGTAAGAATGTATCTATGTATGAGTATACTGTGTACGTGTATGTATGCATATACATATTTTTGTGTGAAGATTTGCATGTGTCTGTGGGTGTATATATATATATATATATATATATATATATATATATTGAATAAAAGACAGACCACGTTAAGATTCCATGTAATAAGCTATTTCACCATAACCCCTTTAACAGGGTTCTGGATCATCAGACTTTACTTCCAAAAGCTGAAATGAAGAATGAAATGAAGAATGAAAAGAAAATTCACAGGTTTTTTACGGAACTCATCAAGTATACGCAAAGTTAACGAAGTGAAGAAGTGAGGTGGGAGAGAGGATGTGAGTGTGTCATATGTATCATTTTAGTTTTCTATTTTAACCCCAGTGTGTGTCGGCTGGATGTTGCTCTAATCTAACGCGTCTCGTCTCTAGATAAAGGTGGTTAAGGGGTGGGCGATAAAGGCTACATTGAGGAAGACGCGTTATAACAGCCCCAATAAATTATCCGACAGGTTTCATTAAAATTCCTAGACGCTGTCAGTTCGCGTTACTTTAACGTGCATATTTGGGAGGTTAAGGTTTGATAAGTATCTACATTTTAAAAACAATCTACGAAGAATTTAATCTGAAATTCGGTGGAGTTTCGGGTATTTTCTATGAAGCAGTCGATTGGAAAGATCTATAGGTAGAACATTGAAAGAGTAATCCAATAAAGCTTATAGCTTGTTAGGTTGACATTTATTCGTTTGATTTTTGTTCATTAAGTGAACCTGTGATTGTTTTTGATTTTTGTTCATTAAGTAAACTCGTGGTTGTTTTTAGGCCCTTCTTTTATATTTTCTTATCTACATATGTCTCAACCCCCTATTTGTAACCACATACCTATATCGTCTTATATGTCTATGAGTTCCTATATACACCTACACACACATTCCCACGAAACGATATATGTATATTTCCATCAGAG